CAACAACCTATTCAGTGCGGCTCCAAACAATGTCATTATCATATACGAAAATCTGTTCAAATAATACAGAATGATTTTACTCGACAATTTATCAATGAATTTCGATGAGACCTCAATCAAAAATCGCCTTCAATCAACTTCACACTAACGATAAGCAAAACTAACGTTTCTTTCCTTGCTGATTGCAACAGCTCAGCAACGTGCTTACGACCAGCTAATCGTTTTAGTATCTTCAATATCATTTTTTTTTCAAAATTTATGCGGAATCGCAAAAAGCGACCACATTTTGTGAAGAAATCTCGAACAAACGAAAGCTATTGAAGACGTGAATTTTAAAGTAGATGAGACGTAATCGTTCATTTGAAGTATTGCTTACGGTTCCACAAGATCGAAACTGAACAAAATCATTTTCAGAAGATTTGACAATACAAAACTGCTATTCGATGATCTAGTTTTCCACAAAATTCCGCATCTTTAGACTACCAATTCAACAGTTTCTCCCCCAGATGGTTGAGGAGCAGCCGAATGTACGCAGAGGAATGTTAGTTGTACTTTTCAAAAACAGACCTGAACTTCAAGTTTGAGAACACTTCCGCCAACCACAAAATTTGATTCAACTTTTAACGCAGCCTGAAATGAGAATGCTAGTTGATGTGCTTATATGCCAGCATTAACGCAGTATTTACCGCATGCAATATCCAGCACCTTAACTCCAGTTTTTATATTCTGAACTTTATAAACATATCCACATCCGCCTTCACCGAGTTTCTCGAGAACTTTCCATTTTTTACCGATAAGTTCACCTCGTCTCAAACGTATTACCTTATCTGAACTCATCGCCCTTAATCTGCAATTATCCATCCACCTTATCAAATGCTTGTAAACTTTCGTATTCACACTGATGTGCGATTAAAACTCTCGTATGATCAGATCTAACCATTCGGTTACGATCAATCCAAAATCGAAAAGTTATCAGCTTCTGATCATCATATTGATCAGAGTTCTATGTAAGGCCAAAGATTTGAGATTGACGGAGAAGAAGACGAAATTATCGCTTTACATGTGAATTTCACCACAATACTGACGTTATCAATTGAACAATTCAATCATCTGATTCATTTACTTCACAAACAAAGTGTTCGCAATAGAGACCAACGCCCATTCGGTTCCAATGAGGATTTGTTTTTAGAACTTTCATATTTTAAAAAATCTGAACGGTGATACAAATGTATAAACTAAAAAATTCAAAATTAAAACCAAAAACGAATCAACCTAAATTTAAGTACCAATCTCCCAAATCCGTATCCTTCACAACACTATAAATAATATAACCAACCACCCCCCAAAATGAGTATTATAAACAATGTGTTACAAAATCAAGTGATTCGTAATCATAGTTTCTGATGCGAAAATCTCCATGGATCGATGACCGTAGTCAAAATTTCTTTTCGTTTTTATACACTATAAAGCAGTTTATTTTTCGACTGATGATAGAACTCGAAAATTTTTCAGTATATTCGCTGATATATGGAAATTATTTGCGATACTTGTTCCTAGTCTATTTGCAATTCACTATTCGGTTATTCTGCTTCAAAGCATTTGTCAAAGCATAATTTCATTCATTGGAGCAGCTCTTTCAGACTACAGAAGGCGATTGCGATTAACTCCATCACTGATGCAAACAATCGTTGAGGTTACATGGCGTTTTTTTGTATTACATCATGCGAGACCACAGCAACAAAGTGAAATTAGTCGATGAGTTTTATTTCACGAAATTATATCTTTCGTACAATTGCGACGTTACGGTGACAACAATCCAAGTGGGACATTCTGGTGTGAGAATGCTAGTGAGGTATCAGGGGCTCTGAACAGCCTCTCCCTTTGACTTAGGCATGCGGGGCCGATCTGAAATACCCCATCTTAACGTACCAAAACGGTCGGCGCCAAAACGTCTTGTACGCAACGATAACAGCAATAACAATAACAAATTCAACAACAACAACAACAACAATATAAACTCTCAATAAATCATTCCCGTAATCACAAATGTTATATTCGAACAAGTTCACGCTTTCTGCTTCAAACGACGTGCGTTCAATATATATTCTAATGAATATTTGTTCTGATCACATCTGAAATAGATTCATAATGTAACCTCATCACTGATCAGATAGGGCGATGGCGAGGCAAAAATCTAGAAATTAAAACGAACGAATGTTCATCAATAAATTACCGCTGTCGCCCTCTCAAACAAACAGGAAAAAGTGAACTCTGAAAATTCTTCTCAAAGGAACGAAGAGTAAAATATCACAAAACTTGCAAAACAGCAGCACATAAAATGTGTAGTTTGGAATCATCGAATTCATTACAAGTAACTTGTCAACTTTGGAAGAAAATCGCATAAACTTTGTCACAATTACTGCAGAATGCGACCATTTGGACTAACAAATAAAACTGAACATGAGCGATTTGTATGA